TAGTGCCATATTTTTTTAATGGGACAATCGACAATCAGGTATTATTCTATGAGCAGTTTCATATATTTTGGGAAATGACAGGCTAAAAAAATTAGACATTTTTGTAAGTACTTTAGTGCTTTTCATGTGCATCAGTGTGCAAAACCTGCACTCCCGATGCAGGGACTCTGTACCGCTCCCTCCCCAAAGAGACTTACAGACCGAGATTCGATGCAAAAGCAAGAGGCAGTTTATTCCGATTGCGATGGGGGTCGCCCCTTCAAGGCAGGAGAGGACCCCAAGCATACAAAGCACAGAGTTTTTATACCTAAAATTCAGGCCACACATGTATCTTTACATTGACTAGTCAGCAGAAAAGACAGCAGTTTTGCAGCTGGCAGCTTACAGCTTCTTCCAAGGGCAGTCCTCCCTGCCCCGGGTTTCTTATCTCAAAATAAGCTCATCCTGTCTTCTGAGGAGGGCCATCTGGTCTGGCCTCTACTCAAGGTTTAGTAGCCCTAATTGTCTGACTGTTCTTCTTTCTTAGCTGGCCCTTATTCAAGGTCCAGTTGTTTTTCTTTCTAGTCTGGGATGGTCCCATTTCTCAACTGCTAACATCTAAAAGGAAGTTTTATGTTTCGTGTCCAAATATTGTTTGTCTTCTAAACTATTTTGAGATAATCCTGTGGTCAGATAAGAGTGACTGTTTTGAGGGGCATGTTGAAAAACCAGTTTCCTCAAAGAATCAAGTAACTATGCAGGCTTACACTAGTCCACAGGGAATATAAAGACATTTCTTACTGTGAGTGGAGGTCAGCACTGATCTCTTGGGAATGGGTGTGCACTTGCTGATAAAAGCCATATTCATCGTGACTGAGGCTAGTGTTCTCTTAAAACCACCCAACTCCCCAAATCTGCCGAATCACAGGTCATGCAGAGGCTCAGCTCACCAAAAGTGCGGAGTCACAGGTAATGTTTCAAGTGGGCAAATCTGCTGCCCTCGGACAGAGTCAGAGTTTTTTTTTCACTTGAATACAGAGTTAATGCTGTAGCAGGGGGAAAAGACAGTTTTAATGGAAACATATTTTCAGGTGTTTCTCATTGTCTATTATATCCATTAAAATATATTCGGGAAGGATAATTCTAAGTGACTGACTTTATGCAGAAAAGCCTTACTTATGAGCTTTTACTGTTAAAAAAGGTATCAGGGGGCCACTGACTTTGTCTATTTAGTAGAATAGGTTAGAAATAAATGCAATATTGCAAGATGTCTAAAATGACTAAGTTTTAGAGAAGTCACTTTTAAAAAAAGATTGATTTATTTATTGTTTATATAGTATTCTGATTGCATGTGTGCCAGCAGGTCAGAAGAGAGTACAGATCTCATTATTGATGGCTGTGAGCCACCATGTGGTTCCTGGGAATTGAACTCAGGACTTTTGAAAGAACAGCCAGTGTTCTTGACCTCTGAGCCATCTCTCAATTTTCTGACAGAAGTGAGATTTTCTTTTAAATGAGAACCTTATCATTTAACTAAGTTTTCCTTGAGAGAGCAATAGCCTTTACCTACCAATGCCCATGCTGTTGTGTGGCCAGCATAGGAGCTGAAGGGCCTGCCTGCCAGCTGACTTCCCCACTTGAATCATGGGAAGAAATGGTACCCAGTGGACTCAGACTCTCAGTACAGGACAGAAGAGAACAAATAACATGAATTTATAGAGACTGTTGTGCTGTTATCTTAGCGGAGAGTCAGGGCCAAGACAGAGGCAAGAGCAGGGGAAGGTCTGAGGGTCTCTCCCAGGTCGGAATTCATGTGAAAAGCACAGAGCCCATGGGTGAGATCACAAAGTGGGTTGCATCCAAAGAGGCTAGGCTGAACAAGTTTTTCTCACAGTACGTATGAGGGTAGGGGTTGCTCAAAGTCTTTTCTTCTTTTTCCTGCATGTCTCCCTTAGCTTCTGCATAGTGGATAGGGGGTACCTGACTGGGATCTGACTGATGATTCCCCGAGCTTCAGTCAGGCGGGGAATGGAGTATCTGTGTGTGAATGCCAGCGCTTGCAGGATGTCAGACAGAAATAGCATCCTTTGACCAGTTCCCTTGCCAGTCAGTGAACCTCTCTTCCACCAAATGGATAATGATCTCGAAAGCCTCATGCGAGCAGCACTTGAGAACTCTCAAATATAGTGTGACTGTTGTAAGGGGTTTGATCACAGACATATCTATGTTGCTGTAGGCCTTTCTCCTGACAAAATCGGTTATATCAGACTTGGAGTCAATGTCTACCACACGCCCTTTCCCATCCACCAGTGCCAATGCTGAGACTTGGCCCTATACAGAGACACCCAGAGCCAAACAGATGAGGATGATAGGAAGGACTGCAGCCATATGGACATAGGTACCAATCTGCAGCTTTTCTAAAGACGCAGTCATGAATTCTAGCATGGGAAATCCGTAATAAGGAGTTTGAAAAACTGAGGATGTGCTTGTGAGTAGCGGGAGGCAGAAGGCACTGCTTTATCCTGGTCTAGTTATCACACATCTTATTTTTAATAATGAAGAGATAGCAGCCAACAAGCTGAGAGGAGGAGGAGAAGCGCAGACTCGTGGCTTAAAGCAGCCCTGCAGTGACTTAGCTTCTGGTTCTCTGTTGTGTTCTTCTAGCTCATAGACGTTTGCCAATGACGGCTAAGCTGTGTGAAAGCTGGCATGGTTGGCATGCACACCAGACGTTGCTTCTTACTGTCTCACCATGGACCAGCACGCATACAACCAGTTATCAGAAAAATGTTCCTGTCAGTACCTAGGGATGAGGAATCAGGTCAGAGCAGGGCTGACCCTTCATGAAAGAGGTAGACATGCTGTGTTTTTGATTTGGGGGTCTCTTGCAGGTGTGTTAGTACCCTGGTTAGGGAACTAACTTTTTAAAAGATTTCTTTGTTAATTATATATACAGTGTTCTGAATGCATGTATACCTGCAAGCCAGAAGAGGGCACCAGATCTCATAGATGGTTGTAAGCCACCATGTGTTTGCTGGGAATTGAACTCAGGACCTCTGAGCCATCTCTCCAGTCCCCTAGCAGTCACATCTTAAGAGCACATCTTAAGAGCAACATTTCAGATAGGGAGATTGTAGAAAGTCAGAGTCTTTGCAAAAATTTATTTTCATTCATTAAAATGCATTACCACAAAAGCAGCCCCAGCCATAAAGGTTTTCCTTTTTTGAATTTGCCGCATCAAGAAACCGTAATTGGATGTGACACCAACACCATTTGTGTCAGGTTGCTGGCCATATAGTTTACCTCTGTCACCGTCAAGTCTCACGTGTTTGTTGTAACTGAATTTGCCAAAATTAACCTGTGCTGAAATGTACACTATAAAATAATAATGTTGAGATAATTGATCCTTATTGGCGGGTCACCTAAAATTCACATTTGGCAAGTCAACCTTAAGTCTTGGGTTTTGCTTTACCCTTGACTTGAGAGTTTTATAATTGTCTCTTCTGGTCATTTTTTTTTTTGTTTGTTTGTTTGTTTGAATTATAAAATTGTTTATGAAAAACTTTATATATAAATAACATCTGAAATAATATCAAGAGTTTAGAAATTCATTTAACTTTGTTATAAAAATAAAAAATAAAAAATCCCGTAACTTTATTTTGTGCTCTATTCCGGTTTCCATGTAAATCCATGTAAATCTTTGTTTGGTACACAAATTCAAGAACCTTTTGCAGGGAAGAGTAACTGAAACAAACCAGCTTGTTGTAAAGTGTAAGCAGTGAGAGGAAGTTTGGTTGTTGCCTGAAAACAATGTGGGTTTGGTTGACATTCTCAGATGTTAAAGTAATCTCTCTGAAAAGACTGAGCATTCATATAAAGTTTCATTCCTACTCTATTTCACTTGAGACTAAGTGCCCTGGTCTGACAGAAAGAGCATGGGCAGGCTTCCTCAAGGCTAGTCAAGTTTCATGAAGTTTGAATTAAAATGAAGAAGCAGAGCACAGGAAATCAGCACCTCATTTCTTAAATCTATGGACGAAAGAAAAATCCTTATGATTTTTTTTAAATTATATTGTGTTTTTGGAAAATAGAATATGCATAAGATATTGAAACTTCACAATTAGAAATTGGCCACCTAGAATCCTAAACAAAAATTAATTTTTATATGGGAAACTTGCTTTGACATGAAGCTAATGACACTTATATCCCTGTGAAACTATGAAAGAATTATACTGTTATATTATTTAAAGCAAGATGAGCAATTAGAAGGCCTGTTGGGGTATCACAGTGAAGCCAGGCCCCCATGTTTGGTCAGCATTGGCTGAAACTCGGAGCAACTACACCCCCTTAGAAAGCCTTTTGAAAATGCTTTCTTTCATGAGGTAGAGACTTTAGTTTAAATTTACAGGACCTTTGTTTGAAAGACTTTGCCCTAAGGCGGTATGCTTTTCTGAGTCTCTGAATGACAGCTCCATGAGAAGGGTAGCACAGTCTAGTACTGCATTTATCGTAGATGGAGTAGGATAACTGTGTTTCTGTTGCAATTTATAAGCAACCAGGGAGCAAGATACAGTTTCCTGGTTGTAGTTCTCAGCATTGGGTTAATTCATTATGTATACTATGACTTCTCACAGAAGTAAAATAGAAAATTGAAAATAATTATAAATAAAAATATTCAAGTACTTTCAAGTTGCTTCCAGGGCTTAAAGGAAAATAAAGTTTGAAGGTACAAGTTTGAAGGCTTAGTAAGTGAATGGAAGGGTGCAGAGAAATGAATCTATTCTGTTTTCCTTATGAGGCAAATCTAGGTGACATCAGAGCCTTGTGAGAGTCATGGGAACCCATTCAGGCTGGGATCCCAAATGTGTTTCCAGGGCATGAGAGAACTATGGTACCACGAGAAGGTGATTGATGGCTGCTATCATGGTCCCTCGTAACATTTAGACTAAGGAAACATGTATCAGATTGGCTGGTTTTCAGTTGTTTTTCTTTTCAAATCCTTCTCTTTATTTATTTTACAGTGGATGGAGCTGAGGTTCAACACTCTGGCAAAATGCCCACACTGCAAAAAAATGTAAGTTCTCTGCTGGAAGTATCATTGAGAAGTACTTGAGGGCAATCTAAAGAGTTTGGAATTCTTAAGCATATTTGGTTTTTAAGACATGATGAATGCATATTTATCATTTTCAAGACAAAGCTAGGCATCCTTAGGCTAATAGATCCCATTTTGAAATTAAAATAATTGGGTTTGGTTATTGTTCTTTAAAGGGAAATTTTTAAGAGAGTAAAATTAATGAATTGTCAAAGAGTTTTCCATGTTACAAAGATTATAATCTTTTGCAATGAATGTGAAGTGTATAAGAAGTACTGTAATCAAGGAGAAAAATGGTTAGATTTTCCATTTTCTTCCTAATAAGATTATTACTGTGGCAAAGCTTATGTAATTGTCTGTTTTAACTATCCACTCTGTTTAGCTGTGTTTCTATCTGCTCTGCCTAGTGGAAATATCAAAGCACAATGTGAACATGGAAAACCACAGACGATATTTTGATTAAAAATATTTTATGGCATTTGTGTTGGGGCTTCTGAGGACCAAGGACTTTGCTAGGAGGACTGACATGAATCAATCAGTCTTACTCACAGATAAGAGTAAAATCTACTCAGCAAAGGGAAAAAACAAACTCTGGAGACATCAAGCAGAAGCTGCAAAGAAGCCTTGCCAAGCGGAGTCTTTTGTGAAAGAGGTGTTACTACAGTGTGTGTCTGCTCAAGGCACTCCCTTGAGACTTGTGAAGGACATACGTACATTCCAGATACCCAACAGGAAAGTTCATATTTGGGATAATCATATCACTCAGAGAGAATTTATACCCTCTAAGCCACTCTTATGACATATGGGATGCTGGAAACTTTTTAAACTTTTTATTTCCCAGGCAGCCAACCTCGTTAAGAAGGGCCTTTAAATGAGAATATTCTTAGGCTTGATTTGTTAACCTTTCCACACAACATTTATTTTGAAAATGACAGTTTAATTAAAAATGACTATCCACGAATATGTATGAATTGTAATGTTAAGTAAAGTCAATTAAATGGGAATGTTTTGACAATTCAATTCTCAAAACAGAAATATAGACTCATACTTTATATGACCTTTAGTATGATCTAATTAACTTCATATATTTTGACAGTAGAAGAGTTCCAAGAATGGTTTCTCAGAGAAAATAATTAAAGTATCTGAAAAACAGAACACATAATGAAATGTCTCTATTCATTGCTGCTAAATGATTTCAACTAAATATAACTCTGATATAATTTTCTTTATCATTAATTTTTAACTCCAAAAGAAGAGGTATTTTCAATTTGTGAAATCCATCACCTAAGTTCTTTGTTTTATTAAATCTGGTAGAAGTCCATGCATGGAGAAGGCAAGCAGACAAACTCAAATACATATACACACAAACACAGGAAAAAATCGTGTGTGGGGGACACCATCACCCAGCATACATAAATAGGCATGCTATTAATACATTTTATTAGTGCATCACAAAGGCACAAAACTAAGTGGGGAAATAGACTCTCCAAGGACACTAAATAGTATTAAAATTTGTAGAAACTAAGCAGCAGAGGATTGTATGTGGGGTACGGTGAGACGGCCTTCCAGACACCTGTACACATTAGCCAGAACTTTCACAACAGTCTGAGAATGTGGGGATTGTTAGCCTAGTTTTACAAATTAAAAGCTGTTGAGAAAGGGCAAGGGTTATGTTTAAGGAACTTTTCGATTAATTGCTCTAGAACAGTGGCACAATTTCTGCTGATGAGAAGAATGTGAACTTTCTGGTTATAAGGTTGTGATGATATAAAGAAGAGCTTGTATCAACAACTTTGGGAGCATTGTGCATAGAAATCCATGTGGGCTAATCCAGCTTGAACGTCATTCTAAGAAGATGGTTTGTAGAATTGGAGTCATAAGCTAACCACGGGAAAACTCAGGGCTTTTGTTACTTGAGGGCAGATGCTGTCATCACATGACCTCCCCCAGCTGGTCTCTGGATTTCTCTTGGCATGTTTTTCTTTATAGCAATGTGATGGGTCTGTTAGAATAAGATTCCCAGATAGCATTTTCTTTCTTGCACATAACTATCCTAGAATTCCTTTTTAATTATGAAGTTATTACTACATATGCCATGTGTTAATCTCACAAGTGTTTGCCCACATCTCCAAAGGAAAAGAAACTGCTATCCCAGTTCCTTATAAACACAGAAGTAGAGGCTGTTGTAGCCATGTCCTGTCTTTTTTAAAATTATTTTATTTACATTTGTGTTTTGTCTTCGTGTATGTCTGTGTCAGTGTGGACATTACGGGAACTGGAGTTACAGCTGCCCTGTGGGTGCTGGGATTTGAACACTGGTCCTTTGGAAGAGCAGCCAGTGCCCTTAACTGTTGAGCCATCTCTCCAGCCCCGCCCTGTTCCTTCTTATCTTAATTCTGTTCATTGTTTTCTTAACTTTGTCTTCCTTGTGGTGTATGAATTGTTTTGAGGAAGCAGTTTTCTCTTTCTGTTGGCAGAATGTTTTCTGTAAGTCCGTTATCTAAAATTCAAACACTTACTAACTTCTTAGGAAGCTTTATAAGATCTCTCAAATTTAAGTCTCTACCTACTTTCTAGAGCTTTCTGTGATTTTTTTTTTTCTGTACCTACAAAGAACTGCCATGTGCTAACATTAACACATTGTTTTACATACATAAACATCTCTACAGTCCCTTGATTCTTTTCTTTATTTTTACGTGTGAGCTGTGGTGACATGGTCTGGCTGCTTTATTTTCTCTTCCCTTCCTGCCTTAAAAATACCCATTAAACCCTACAAGTTAGCCCGAAGTCTCTTTTGCTTCTTCTGTGTGCTTTTATGAACCTCCTGTGGGAGACTGGTTACAGTATTAGTTTCCTCTCATACTCGAGCCATGCCACTATTATGAACTAAAATGGCTCATCCTTCTATCTATTCCAGGCTCACTCTACCTTGAAACCTTGCTGCATTGGTTCATTTTGTATTGCAATAATGAAATATTTAAGGCTTCATGCATAATAAAGAAAAAATGAGGCTTATGTTAGCTCATACAATCTAGGGTTAAGAGCCTAGATGTGGTTGCCCATTCTTGCTGGCAGAATTTGGGGGTGGCACAGTGATTTCGAATGCACACATGTGTTTGTCTCTCTGGCTCTTCTGCCCGTTCTTTAAGAACAGAACAAGACCTGTGACTGTATGCAATCCTAATCACACTGTTCCAATTAAGTTCCAATCCTCTTTTATTTTACATTTTATTTACTTATGTTCTTTTTAAACATGTATATCTTCACTTTACACCCTGATCGAATGCCCCTCTGCTCCTGGTCCCTCCTTCCTACCCTCTTGCTTCTATCCCCTCCCCTTCTCCTCAGAAAAGGGAGCCCCTCGCTCCAGCCCACCCGAACACATCAAGGCGCATGAGGCCTGAGCTCCTCCTGATCCACTAAGGCCAGGCAAGGCAGCCCAGCTAGGGGGGAAGTGATCTAAAGCAGGCAACAGAGTCTGTGTCATAGACAGTACCTGCCCAACTTACTAGGGAACCCACATGAAGATCAAACTGCCTATCAGTTACATATATGTAGGGAGTCTAGGAAATCATGAAATTTGCAGGCAAGTGGATGGAACTAGAAAGGATAATTCTGAGTGAGGTAACCCAGTCCCAGAAATTCCCATCCTCTTAAAACCTCACAATGAAGATTATATTCTAACATGAGTTTCAGAAGGGAGGAAGCAATATTCAAACCATAGCACTCACCTTCTCTCTCTCTCTCTCACTCTTTTTTTTTTTTTTTTTTTTTTACTTCATCTGAAACTATAAAGAACAGTGCTTGGCATTAATTTTTTTTTCATAGCAATAGCTACATTCACGTTTTGCAAGTGTTCTTTATAAAATTCATAAAGTGGTTTGTGAATAGGGAAGTTTGTAATTTGAAGCATAATTAGAACCTTGGGAACACTAAACAACCTTTCCACATGTTTTTCTGTATACTCTGAGATAAATAATTAAGTGTAATAAGCATCTTCTTTGATGCATAGCTTAGCTGACTTAAAGTTGAAAAGAAGACCTAAGGGCCCACAAACAAAATTGCGATGATAGCAGGGTATGGTGGGTGAAGTAGCGGTGGCGGCTCTCATGAGGCTTGAGGGTTCAGGTAAAGAGAAGTGGCCTTTACCTTTCAGAAGATTGAAAGGCTGGAGTGTGCTCTCTCCCAATAAAGTTCTTAACATGTTCTTGCCCCCAAATGAGTAGGTAATGAAATATAACCTACCAGGAAATGGAGACATAAAAAAGATAGATTAGCTGGGCTCGGTGCCACATGCTTGTAACCCCAGCACTCAGGGAAGCAGAGGTTGAGGTAGGCGGATTTCTGTGAGTTCAAGGCAAACCTGGTCTGCAAAGCAAGTCCAGGATAGCCAAGGCTACACAAAGAAACACTGTCTCAAAAAAAAAACAAAAACAAAAAACAAAAAAATGAACTAAAAAAAGATAGTTTGTGTCATCCATTATCTTAATAGCAAAATGTAATCCAAAATAGAGGGTTAAAAATATAACAGTTGAGCATGAAATTAAAGCAAAAGGATAGAAAAGGTATAACCATGAAACTCTCTCGAAAGCCAAATACACACTAGGCATCTGTAGGAGTTTCAGTAGCAAGCCTTTTTGGTTTTTCAAGATGGGGTTTCTCTGTGTAGTGTTGGCTGTCCAGGACTCACTTTGTAGACCAGGCTGGCCTTGAACTCACAGAGACCTGCCTTCCTCTGCCTGTTGTGGTGTTCTCCCTCTTAGTAACTGAACTCTGCTCCCAACACATCCCTAGCCTCCACTGTACATACATGCTCTCTTACAGGTTGGGGTAGCTGTTTATTTAGGTAGGAAACAACGGAATTGGAGTAAAAGTGATGAGTGTGGCTTCCTCCCATGCTCCTCAAACACACAGCTGCTTGGTTCTGTGCTTTGTCCCTGCTCAGGTTGTCTAGAAAGGGAAGTACAGCAGGAACTCTGCTACCAGCTAAGCTGCAGCTGCCCGGGTGGTATGGTACAACACAGAGCTGTTTATCAGCTCTCGGCTCCATACCTGCATCTGGCCTGATATATACAACACAATCTCCTCCCTTAAGTTACTCTAATTGTGGTTTGCCTTCTATGGTCTGGCTTTCTTTTCTATCACGTGTTCTCACTTCACTATTTAGTATAAAAGTAACTAGCATTGTGGCCACATCACCAGAAACATGAAATTCATATTTGTACAAACCTTATACTATGTATAGGATGGTATATAAATATACTATAAATTCAAAATATGTAAATGAAAACTGGCCGTTACAATGACTATGTTCTTGTGAATTAAGATATACTAAAAAAACCAAAAATTTAAGAGGTTAAAAGACAGAAAAAGTAGTTTTGTAATGGGTAAAAAAGAACTTCCTAGATAAAGTATCAAAAATCATAACTGAAAGAAAGATTGGTAATTTTGAATATGCAGAATTACCTTGGGTTGGAAAGGTGGCTCAGTGGTTAAAAACACGCAAGGACCTGAGTTCAGTTCCTAGAACCTACACAGGGTTGCTCACAACTAGCTGTAATTCATGCTCTAGGGGATCCGACTCATCTTGCCTCTGTAGACACCTACACTCATGTGCACACACACACACACACACACCCCTACACTCATGTGCAATGCACACACACACAATTAAAAATTAAAATCTTAAAAAGAATCACCTTTTATTTCATTGACTCTCTTGATTATTAGAACAATGTATTTTTATCACTGAGTATAATATATATCGTATCTCACATATACCCATAGTATGTGCCAGGAACGGTATGTCTTGGGGTTAGCACACAAAAGACAGCCTGAGTTAAAGATATGAAGTGTTGAATAGAAGAAGAAAGCCAACAAGAAGTGGAAAAGATGCTTAACCTTTCAGAAATCAGGTTGGACATATTCCAAACTACAATAAAAACTATTCTTGGCCAGGATAAATCAGAACAATATTAAATGAAGTGCCGGCAAGAATTTAGGTGGGGTAATGGCATGTCTCATACAATTTTGCTGAAGATGTAAATTTGATATTTCTTAAAGTTAAAGATATGTCTGTGACATAAGCACTCCATTCCTAGGAATAAATTTTCTTTCATATAAATGACACAAAATACGACTCAGTATAGTGGTTATTAAAAAAAATTTCCATTTGTAATATCAAAATTTATTATGAAAATAAATTAATGAGTCTCCTATCAATACAGACTTTTCCCATCAAGTATTAAGCTAATATAAGGTCAAATTCTAGGCAAGCAGTTCAGCACACATATCTATACATGTTTGACATAGGCACAAACAATCCCGGATGTTGCATACAGCACCACGTTATTAAATACTAAGAGAGTTTTTACTGGCGCAAAGAGTGGTCATTCGTCCTTGCTCCATCCTGGTGGTGGGTTGCACTTAGGCTGTGGAATAGCAGTGGTTTCTTTCTCTTCTGGTGACCTAATTTGAACAGTAAAAAAACATGGATTTTCTACACAGGATTCACAAAGTAAGATTAGTGTACCTGAGTTACTTCTTTGGTTCTCAGAAAAGCAGCTCTAATTTTCATGTAGAATCTTTGACTTCTTCAATGAGCAGTTCTAATGAGTGTACTTGGCTTTTCATGCATGGTAAGTTAGAGACCTCCAGAGATTGCCAGACAGGTTGAAGGAATGAGAAACAACACTTAGCTGGGAGCTGTGGGGCAGGAAACCTACTGACAGGGCACATGAAGAGCTAAACTGGTTGATTCTGTGAAATGAGAACTCCTTTGTGAGGATGCTTGATAACGGGAGAATATTTATGCCATTTGTGGGTCAGTATACAGACGGGCAGGAAAAGAATGTACTAGGACACTGGGAGGCTGTGTTAGGGTGGGAGAATTAGACATGTTCACTTTTCCCTCATTTCTCTATTTTCCAAATTTTGTGCATTAAACATAAACCATAAGCAAGCCAAATGCTACCTGTTAGCATACTTCTCCATGCCGGAAAAGACTGTTGGGATCAGGGACCACAGGGTGGGTGTTTTTTTTTTTTTTTTCCTTGTTTGTTTGTTTTTGTGGATATTGTCACTGACCAAGGCACCATTTACTTTTGTCACATGTTGGAAAATGTCGTTCTTATAATACTGTCTGTCATTTTGAAGAAACACATGAAGCTAGTACGTCAGTGAGGCTGTAGTCAAGAAGTCATGAGGATGCAATGGATGTGTCTTTGCATAGATATTTAATGAATTCCTTCGCTGTGTTCTCTCAGCTCTTCAGTAGGAAGCGCTCTTCCCCGGAGACGCTGCTGTGCGTATGTCACCGTTGGAATGATATGTATTTTCATTGGAGTTGGATTAACCGTGAGTACCACCTTTGCTTGTTCGGATTTATGGTCTCGTGGAGCAGAGGCTGGCCTTTGAGTTCCTGATCCTCTTGCCGCCACCTCCCAAGTGTGCTCTACAGTGCCAAGACTGAACACCACTGTTAGTGTTTATCAATAACCCGATTGTAAGCTTACCAACTTTAAAGCCTGGGGTAGACTTGGGACAGCCATCAGAGAGCCCCAAGATGGTGGCAACTCTGCGTGACAGGCTCCAGAGCTTTTGAAGGATGGTGGTCAATCAGATATCTAATCCTTGGATATGTCTTTTATTTTTTTAATTAGATAATACTTTAAAAAGTGTTTTTATGTTATGTGTACAGGTGTTTTGTCTATATGTATTTCTGTGTACTATTTGCACGCCTGGTGCCTGTGGAAGCCAGCAGAGGGTGTCAGATTCTCCAGAGCTGGGATTACAGATGGTTGTGAGACCTGATGTGGGTGATGGGAATTTAATTTAGGTCCTTTGGGTGAACAGCCAGCGCTTTTAACTCCAGCCCCAATTTTACAAGATTTTACGGCATTATATTAATTATGCAAAATCAAGCTTTCAATGTGCAAGACTGTTCCTAATGGATTCTGCCTACTCAGGGAAAGGCTTTTTGTGCTCATCTGAAAGTCTTTAGCACTGAGAAATTCATTATTTGTTTGTCAAAAGTCCATTTACTTTTGTGGAGTGGGCAGAACCCACTTTTTATGGTCACGAAGTATCTTATATTCAGAACAACAGTGTTGCTATGAGGATGGGTTAGTTTCAGAGGAGACGGAAGTTGAACAGTTAGCATGGGAATGACAGCAGGAGCAGAGAGGGGAGGTGATGGTTGCTTTCCGTGTGCTGAGTTCCTTGGTTAATATTCCTGGTCCCATATCATTAGCAGTGCTCCTCTGTACCACATGAGAGGAAATATTTACATGGATTAAACAGCTTACAAAGGTCACGTCACCTCAATTTTCTCTTTGCTCTTTTCTTCTTTTGGTTCTGAGTTCTGGGATTTACAGGCATTCACTACCATGCCTGGCAGTGTGCGTTTCTACATCATAAAATTTGTAGTTAACCCAAGTAGCATTGTTAACTGTTACAGTCTGGAGCTACATGTAGTCTTACAGGGCCTTAGCAACTTCAGTTTGGGGATATAGTTCGTAGAATCACAAACAGGGAGGCCAACACAGGTTTTCCGAGGAGACATTTCCTTAACGGTTCTAATTGCTTGCTTTTATATTATTTTTTGTTTTAGGTTGGCACACCAGATTTTGCAAGGCGATTTCACGCGACCTACGTGTCTTGGGCAATTGCTTATCTCATCGGTTTGATTTGCCTTATCCGAGCTTGTTATTGGGGCGCAATAAGAGTCAGTTATCCTGAACACAGTTTTGCTTAAAGCTACTCGTGAATCCTTAATGTAGGTGAGAGTGTCCAGTAGTTCTTAGTAAGCTCTTCTGGACACCTTCAAATCACTGCTCTAATGGATTCCATCGGGTTTGTATAATAGTCTCGAGACTTTGTGAGTCTTTTCTGAACAGATGCTCACAGCAGGACATTATATGCAAGTTCATTTTGCTGCTAGGTTTTCAGACTTGGAAAAATAAAGCTGTGTCTTTGTTCTTTTAAATCATAAAGGTATTTTTGCATTTGTCATCACATGTTAGATCTAATATCAGTTGTTGATTATGTTAAGCCTGTTATTGTATTTCCTGCTTCTCTGTGACTATTCCTAAGACGTGTTTATAAATGTTTCTACAATAGCTTCACATTTATACTTACATTTTAAACAGATCTGCTTGCTTTAAAAATCTAAGCAATAGGCATTTTTGCTTGAACTGCTTACTGTAATTTTAACCTAAGATTATAGTTACCTTATTCAGGAAAAAAAAAATTGAGTGTACCTTCTAAAACTTGGCATTCTTGTCAGAGAAAATTTCTAGATACTGTATGCTTGTTTTTTGTTCTTTGTAGAAAGATCCAATATTTTGGTAGTAAGTTAACATACTTAGGATGAGCACATTAGTCCATAGCTGGAGATATTGGAGAGATGTCTTTTCTCCAAAACAGCAGGACCTTTTGCCTTTCTTTTTTTTTTGTCTTTTTAGTTAGCATTTCCAAAGCATCCAGTCTGGATTTGTGGAATTTAATGTTGCTCTTCTGAATGTATTCCTTTATAGACTGGAGAAGGTGTTTCAGCCATGTTTCATAGCCCTCATCTCGTCAGAGACAGATTCACACTGGGCTGCACCCCGTTCCCTCAGATCGCGGTAACCTTGTCTTCTTGCGGTACTTGTGCACCCACTTCTCCGTGAAGAGAATCAATGACATTTTGCATTAGCTGAAATGTTAGAATTAGAGATTCTTGTGCCATCTCTCACCCGGCCAGATAATGACTCAACGTATTCAAGAAAATGGATCAAAGATAAAGAGTTTCATAGTTTCCTAAACTTCGCTTGGGATTCATGGAATCAGCTCTTGCACTGCCCACATTTGCAGTTTAGAAGGAATTATTTGATAGTCAGTGGTTTAAGCTCTTTCACATGGTAGAGTTAGACGATGAGATGACCTGAGTACATTGGTAGGTGATTCCAAGGGACAAGACTAACGTTTTAAGTTATTTATGTTCCCGATTAATATAAAAATGTACTTACTGCGAAGTTTGGAGTGAAATACATGTAAACCTCAAAGAGAAAATGTTAAATGTATAAATGAAGTAGCTCAGGATTATATGTATCTTTGAAAATACACTAATAAAGATTATTATCCAAAATTGCTTCGTTCTATTTCATCTTAAAAATATGATTTAATTTCCAAAGTTCACTTTGAGATCTTGCTCTGAAATACTCATACTAAAGAATACATACCATTATTTTATTTTTTTTTAATTTACATTTTGTGTTTTGCCTCCATGTCTATCTGTGTGAGTGTGGCTATTACGGGAACTGGAGTTACAGACAGTTGTGAGCTGCCATGTTGGTGCGAGAATTTGAACTTGGAATAGCAGCCAGTGCCCATGACCGCTGAGCCATCTCTCCAGCCCCTGCATACCATTATTATATAATGTTTTTTATTCTTTTTATGCAGTTTTAACAACGGTTTTTGATTTGTTTATTGTTAGCACACTTACAGTCAATAACCAATGTCTTAGCTTAGTGACAGTACTTTGTAATAGCACTGGATGTTGTCAGTTCATTTTTTCCTGTTGGCTTGAAATCTCACATTGTGTTTTATGCTATTTGACAAAATCCTTCTGGAATTTAACTCTGACAGACGTGTGACAACTTGTTCACATGTTCCTTCCATTTTGATCCCTGCTGCGTACTCAATCTCAATGAAAGAATGAATGTGCATGAGGGATAATTATTGGATCATTTTTACTTCTTATGTGTACTTGGGCCAGTACTTGCTATTTTAAACTAAAATATTTTAATCTTTGGTTAAACGTTACAATCTTAAGTTAGAGAAAAAAAAGATCCAAATATTACCTAAAAGCAAAATATATAAAAAAATAAAGTGATTAAAACAAATACAAATATTTCAAAAACTAGTGTATGAAAAAATTTACAAATAACAGCAAAAGACAAAATGGTGAAGATATTTTTTTAATATAGTTGACTCAGTCTCTGAGATATGAGGAGGGTCTCAAGGCACAAAGAAGCAGTTCATAAGAGGAAAAATAAGCCAAGCATGGTGGCATACACCTTTAATCCCAGCACTTGGGAAGCAGAGGCAGGTGGAGTCTGTGAGCTTGATACCAGCCTGGTCTACGTAGCTACATGGTGAGAACTTGCTTTTTTTTTTTTCCTTTTTGAAATTTTTTTCTTCACAATTTATTCATTATATATCCTGATTGAAATCCCCTCCCTCAAGTTCCCCAGTCCCAGCCTCCCTCCCTCTTCCCTCATCCCCTTCCCCTAGTCCACTGGTAGGAGAGTTCTCCTCTATTGCCATCTGCCCATAGCTTGAGTCTCTTCAGGACTGCCTGGATCCTCTTCCTCCATGGCCTGGCAAGGCCGCATCCTCAGGGGCGAGTGGTCAGAGAGCAGGCAACTGAGTTCATGATTTTTAACTGTGTGTGCGCACACGTGCGTGCAGGCACCTGTACGGGGCAGAGTGGTCGGTTGCCCTGGAGCTGGATTTATAGGTAGCTGTGAGCTGCCAGACTTGGGTTCTGGGAATCAGACTCAGGTGTTTTGCTGGAGCAGTATGAGCCCTTAACTACTGAACCATCTCTCCAGCCCAACCGGCGTGTTTTTTCCTAGTAAAGAATGTAAATTAAGCCAAAGAGAAAATATTTTTTTTCTATTAACTGATAATGAAAAAGCAGTAATATCGCAAGAATTTTTGTGATATCTTCTCTGTGTGTGTGTCTCCCATTCCCCATATTTTCTGGCATCATAATTCTAAGAATTTATACCAATGATGCTGTGAATGAGAAAAATGTTTATATTTATGATGTTTATCACGTTTCTGTTATAAAGATTAAAAAGAGGAAACAGGTTTTTGTTTTTGTTTTTTTTTTTTTAAAGAAGTGTGCCATAAATGTTGAGCTCAATCCGTTATGGCACACTTAATCTGTGAAATAAAAATCCACCACTGAAAATGTGAGCGAGCCTGGCAGTGGTGGTGTGTGCCTTTAATCTGAGCACTCAGGGAGCAGAGGCAGGTGGATCTCTGAGAGTTAAACACCAGCCTGGTCTACAGAGTTCGAGGACAGCCAGAGCTACACAGAGAACCTAGTCTCCAAAACAAAATAAAGAAAATAATCAAATATAAATGAATAAAAAATATAAAAGAGATGAAGTTTTTATCATTTGAACCCAGCCACAATGTCAATGTCAATACTTGGATTGGAGAAAGTATGTGTCTGCACTTTAAACATACAGACACACACACACACACACACACACACACACTCAACCAAAATGTAACTTCTGGATGATGAGAGACAAATGATTTAAACATCTTTTACTACACTCATTGTCGGAAATTTCTAATTTTACGCTTGATAAGTAAATAATTATGGTGTGATCAGGCAAATACTTGTTAACCTTCATTTAGATTTTTTAATCATATTAAAACATGGTCTTCAATCGATTACCACAGCTTTGCCATTGGGCCTGAATTTTGGTACTTTGCCTTCTGCTTTGTGTGTGTAGCGCACAATCAAGGGCCGGGTGTGCCTGGCCTGGGTGTTTGTTTTCAGAAAGACCTGGTCACAGTAACTAATTGGAACACAAAGAGCTTGCTCGCCCCCTGCTGCCCAAAGCATTAGCAGTTCCGTTTGCTTTTAGAGGGGAAAGTGAACCCACAAAGATGTTTTCTTTTAAAAAAGTGTTTTATTATTGGTGTGTGTGTGTGTGTGTGTGTGTGTGTGTGTGTGTGTGTGTGTTTATATGGCATGGCACATGTAGTACGGTCAGGGGACAACTTTTGGGAGAGGTTTCTTGCCTTCATGGTTGTGTACATGCGGTCACAGCTGTTTCATGCAGCAAGCATTTCTCCCGTGGAGCTGCCCTTTCACCAGGCCTGTGAAGTAATTTTTGAGGACACAAAGCTTGTTTTCAGCACTCACTCTTGGTGGCTCACTCATGGTGAGCATAAGCACTGATTTTTGCTCCTGCTGAGGGCACACATATGCCTGTGTGAACATGTATGTGCTGGTGAACAACACGCAAATGAAAAATTAAAAATCTTAAAACTATTCAGTTTCCTAGCATGTCAGTAAAATATGAAAACTTGGAATGTCTGCTATTTCCCTACCAAGTATGCCTTCAGCTTAAGGTATTGGGCATTTTTGCATTGTTGGAGACTTAGACTGCAGCCTTTTATAACTGGACACGTTTGAACTCCTTAGCCTATGTAATGCTCTTCTGGTCTCTTCATCATAGCTGTTTTACTCATTATATGTAGTGCCCTCTCTGCTGTCATCTGCCATCTACAGGTCTCTGTTCACATCTTCAGAATCAGTGGAGATTTCAGGACGGGGTTTTCATTCTAATCTCTTGACACCAAGTTAATTGTCAACGCAAATGCTCCAGCGCCTATTAAATGTTTCCCCTTAATAAATCTTTTTCTCCTGAGAACCTTTCATGACACTGAGAAGATAGGTATATGAAACAGATATACAAATAAAACATTGCCTGAAAAACATGAAGAAATTGATTTTGGAAATAGAAATTACCGTTAATTAATGATGAAAGAAAATTTACATATAATGAGATGATGTGCTTATTTTACAGAAATTAAAACTTGAATATTTGATAGTGCATGGCAAGAACATCTTTAACATTTTCAGATTTGATCATCTTTGAGTCTACAGTTGTCAGTACTGATAACCGAATGCTGGCTTGCACAAATACATAGTACAGCACGGCAGAAGTATGTTTAGAGTCATTTTAAAAGTTGGCAATTTTGTCTTAATATGAAGACAAAATATCGCTTTGTAACGTGTGTGTGGTATGTGTGTGTGTACAGGTGTGTTCGCCCATGCACACACAGAGAGCAGAGAATGGTGTCAACTGTCTTGTTCTCTCATTCTCCACCTTATCTCCATCTTTCACTGAACATGGAATTTGTATTTTTTTTGGCTAAGCTGATTGGCCAGCAAATGCCATCAGTCCTCCTATCCATTCCTCTGCCCCCAGCCAGTGCAGGGGTTAAAGGACCGCTTGGCAACTCCTGATTTCTATGTGATTCCTAAGGATCTAAACTTAGACACTAGAGTTTATAAGACAAGTGCTTTTCTCCCCCACGTCACCTCTCTGCCTGTGACTATACCGTAAAGCATCGCAGAACTTAATTTTTTTCTGAAGTATTTTTTTCTCGTCTCTGTCATCCCTTCAACCAGAAAGCTATTTACAATCAACAGTTGCTGGAGAGAGAAAATCAATTTTCTTCACAATGGAGTGACAACTGGGTACACCAGGACACGCTGTTATTTTGTTACTTCTTTTTTCTTTTGTTTCTGTTTTGATTTGGGATTTTTAAGAGACAAAAATAATATGAACTTGGATGGGTAGAGACTTGGGAAGGACTTGAGGGGCAGGAAAGAATATGATCAAAATAGTATAGTTTTAATTTTATATTTTTACTCTATCATTTCCAAAATTCTTTAAAATATTTTGAAAAAAACTAATAAAGTTGTTAGCATGTCTAATAAGCTTGTTGACTACAATATTAATTTTTAGTACTGTTAAATTTGATAAAGGCCATCATGAGTTTTGTGAACTCTGAAGCAATACTATTTCATATATATATATATATATATATATATATATATATATTTTTTTTTTTTTTTTTTGTTGGTTTTAGATAGAATTTTACTGTGTAGCCAAGGTTGGCCCCACATTCTTAAGTCTTCTTGCTTCAGCCTCATAAATGTTCAGAGTCTGTACCAACATTCAGTTTGTGCCACCGATTTTAAATTTAAGATTAGAGATGGCTCTGTCTCATGCTATAGCAGTAAGGATTTTTTTTTTTTTGAGGGTCAAAACACTTTTGCACACCTTTTTATCATGATAAATCCATTACATGGCCCCGAACTTTAACCTTAGTTACTAAGTATTTATGTTAGTAGACGGTGTTCCTCAAAGCTATTTCTACACCAAGATAACTAGCAATACAAAGATTCTACAAAGAAGGGTTACAGAATTTCATGTATTTTAAAATGATAAACCATATATTACTGTCCAGCTCAAGATCTTTGTTTCCTCTCTTTAAGATAAAATTCAGCCCCCTTAATACCATCCACAAAACCCTGACTTTTGGCTTCTTATATTCTCTAAATGTGTCAACATTGTTTTGCTTTCTCTAGTCCAGGTATACAAGACTTGGACTAGAGCTTGACTTCAGTTTCTAGAATATGGCAAATCATTTTCTCCCCAGGCTATTCTACCTCAAACCTTTAGTTCTGTATCGACAATCAAGCCTAGAGGATAACTTGTCTGACCTTCAGTACCCCATCCCAGTGAAAGCTTTGACTTGTTCCCCAGGTCTTATCTCCTTTGGAGTTTTTATTTTTTCAATTGTTTGAGTCCCCCCCCCCAAGCTTCCTTCTGAAATGTGCAATTAAAAAAACTGGAATACATTTCTTAATTGTCCAATTTATGCTTATGAAATGTGTATATACATATGCTAATATGTACCAGTTTACATTTACTGCATATTTATGTTACAAACTAAACGTCTCATTATAATCTCACATATGTAAATCTCAGCTTAATTTAGTTCCTTTCCCAAGCCTGCCTCCATATTCCATATATTCACATGTATTCCATTACCACCAACTCAAATTTCCCTGGATCAGAAACTGAAGACACCCTAGTGTCTCATTTCCCTTTCCTATCCAAACTGCTAGTAAACTTTACTGTTTTTTCTTTGGGATATTCCTCTCTCCCTCATACACATACATATATATATATGTGTGTGTGTGTGTATGTATGTATCCCTTCTTCCATACTTAATGTAGACATCTTACTTCTTCCTGCAGGGCTGGTAAGTGTCTCCAAGTGGTCTGTATTTGTGTTTCTGCGTCTGGCACTACCCAGAACATCAACCCACCAAACCATTGTTAGAATGATCTTTTAAGTAATCGTTTGACTGAAGGCCTTAAAGATGTCACTTATAAGCACACCATTAAACAAAGGCTTAAAATCTGATTTAAATTCACCTTCCTATTTCGTTTTCCTCTCTATCCATCTCTGCTACTTGACACTAAAAACATTTTCCTCCTTCCTTGTATTTTCGTGTTTCTTCCAGGTAACTGAAACAATGGAAGCATCACCTTCTCAGAACAACTTTTTCCCAGGTCTAAGGGTCAGCTTAGCCACCTTTCTACTGTACTCCCAATGCTTACCCAGGCCCACAGAACTGTGTGCCCCTACCCCCAATCTTGGTGTCCTCCAGCATTTGTCTATGGCCATCATGACAGTGGGGAGGAAAAAGAAAACATCACAAGAGAATGAAAATGAAGACGGAAAATAATGGGTTTGGATTCAAATAGTTTCGTTAGTCAATTTTGATCTTTTCAGGACTGTAACCTGCAGAGCGTGATATTGTCAACTCAAGGAGAGCTAGAATCACCTCGGCAACAAACCTCTCCGCGCCCCCGTGAGGGAGTTTCTAGACTGGGTTGAGCTTGCAGGACTGAATGAATGGGGCGAAGTGGGACGGTATTCATGACCAGGTCTCCATGCTCTCGCCACACCTTCAGTATACACTACACCCTTAAACTGTGAGCCAAAATAGAGCATCCGCTTTGATTGTTTCTCTTTCTTTCTTTCTTTCTTGGTCCCAACAACAGTAACCAATACAGTGAAAATAGGTAACTAACACGCGAAAAAAGTACACCGTTTCTCCAGCACCATCCTTGCGGACGGCTGGAATCCCACAGCACACACAGGGCGGAGTTGCTGCCAGCCCCTTTAAACTGAAAAGGGGGGTGGGAGGGGAGGCCATCTGGGCCCCTGCTCCGAGCTTGGGTCACAGACGTGGCTTTCCTCGGCCCCAGCCTCCCTCACAGAGGCGGCCTCCTTCCGAGAACTCGCCTTCCCCACGGAGGCGGCTTTGCTCACAGAGGCGGCCTCCTTCCGAGAACTCGCCTTCCCCACGGAGGC